GGGGCCTCCAGGACTCCCAGCCTCAATTCTCTCCCAGAACTGCTTCCCTCACTCTTCCTCAGTGCACACCCACGCGCATCAGGCGTGACTAAGGTTGCCTCTGGCAGTTAAGCCAGGAGAAGGGAAGAGGAAAAGGGGGCAAGAGTGATGTGCCCCTCCTAGGACAGTACAGTAGCTCTCAAGCCAGGAGCCCAGGACAGGGAGCAAACTGAGGTGGCAGGAGCCACTCCTCACTCCCAAGCGCTGGGAGGACGGAAAGGGGAGAGGACTGGAGAGGGATGAGGGGTTGGGGAGGGAAAAGAGGGGGAGAAGGGAGAGTGAAAGGGAAGCCTCGTGGCCGATAGCATCAGGCGGTGGCTGGTTTGCCCCGATTGGCCAAATCACAATGGTTGGTCACCAGACAGGAAGGGCCAGGCAGGAGGGATGGGGGTAGGGGTTCTGCACACCCAGGGATGGCCATTCTCGGTGGAAACAGGCCTACAGGTGTCCAGGAAAACTGGACGAGGGAGTGGCCGCGCTGTCTTTCCCTGTTGTTCTTTTCCACATCTGGGTCTCCAGCTGCCTTAATCTTATTCCCTCAGCCCTCACCACTGTGAGAGCCAGGTCTCCCCGGCACGCCTGCCGGCGCGCCCCCAGGACCCCTCGCCACTCCACGCAAAAGGCCAGCAGGAGGGACGTAGAGCAAGAACTTCACACATTTCATTCCCCTTCCACCGCAATGGCTGCCGGGCCTGGACAGAGAGGAGCGGGGGGATTAAAACTGCCGAATGGGGCCTCGGTTTCCGGGCTCCTGGCCGGCCACTCGAGGGCTTCCCTACACGGCCCGAATTCCCTTGCCCTCCCACCCGGAAACCCGGACGGTCGGAAGCCACGTCTCCCAGCCCCCTCTCTACCCGCAGGAGAGGTGGTGGGGCGACCGCCGCGAAGCCCGACCCCGCCCGCGGCCTTGGGCCCAGGGATAGAGTTCCGAGGGGCGCCGGTAGTGGGCTTCGAGCCTGAGGCCGGACCCTCTGGCCCTTCAGTCTCAGTCCGTCAACACCCTCTCCCCACTCCAACACCCAGCCCGGAGAAACGGATCTTCAGCCCAACCCCGACCCCTGCCCCAGCGCGCTTTCTCGGGGCTCTCTGACCTCCCGCCCACCAAAAAAAAAAGGTGCGGCGGCACCCCCGCCACGCCTCCCGGGCCCAGGGGAAGGTTCGATCAAAGTTGCTCGAGGCGGCTGGAGAGCGCCGGGGCGAGTCTCCGCGGGCCTGGGGCGAGCCCTGGAGGAAGGGACCGCCGGTGTCTCCCAGCCCGCGCGAAGTCCGCCGGGGCCCCGCGGGCCTCACCTGGGCTCCCGCAAGGCTGGCGCGCTCCCTCCCGCCGCGGTCCCGGGGCTCTCTAGCTGCGGCCCCCGGTCCCGCCGCTGCGCGCGGCCCCGCCCCGGCTCCAGCCCTGTCCCCTCCCCCTCCCAGGTGGCCGCGGCCTCCCTCATGTGACGCGGGAACGCTGCGGGCCTTGGAGTCACTGGGCCGGCGCGGGGTGGGCCGAGCCCCGCCCGCAGGGCCACTGGCCCCCCGGAGAAGGCCCCCACCCCGCAAACGGAGAGCCGAAAAGGCAAGACCGTCGGGGCGCCTAGGGGCCCCCTCTGGCGCCCGTCTCCGTGCCAACTCGGGGTAGGAGAGCAGGCGGGCGCAGCCTAGGTCACTCTGGTCAGAGAAGCGGACGAGCGTAGGTGAGAGTTATCCTCTGGAGGCCGGGGCGGAGAGCTTGAGGCCGGGTGACAAGGTGGTCGGGAGGATGGTTTCTCCATCCATTCTCCAGATAGCCCGAGCTCTCTCCTCTGGCTCAACTCTGTGCAAGCCCCCTCCGCCCCAGTCCGACTGTGCCAGACAGCTGGGGACTGCCTGGGGTCGGGTGGGGCCAGAAACAACAGTTCAGAAAGTCCCTGGCCTACCATCCTGGGTGTCTCCCAACATTCTAGAAGCATGCTAGAGTGGGGCATTTGACCTGACCCCCCATATATTAGCACTAGCTTCTCCATTAATTCCAGGGTTCTAGTTCTGAGAAAAGGGGAGGAAGCCCTTCCTCGGAAGCCACGCAACCCAGTCAATCAAATACACGTCCCGGTCGGGATCCCGCCCTCTGGGTGAGGATGGACAAACAAGGTCTCGCAGCCTCCCAATTCCCGGACAGGTCCTGATCGTCTTGATAGCGAGGGTTTGGGGGAGACACGAAGGTAGAGGTTACATCCTCTGACTTCCTCGTCTGTTCCCCATGAGACAAGCCAGGTGAGACTGGAAGCGGGGGTAGGGGGTCAAGCTGCCTCGCTCCCCTTTGTGCCAGGAGGGTGGTCTCCAGAAGGAGCTGAATCTGAACAGCCAGAGAGTGGGGACCGGTCGTCGCACACCCCACACCTCCAGCCTCGGAATCCCACTCCTTGGGCTTTAGGGTCCTGCCTTCAGGAAGCCACTTCCTGAGCTTGGTGTATGTGTGTACACAAAGAAGGAAGAAAGTCTCTAGAGCAATAAGGAAGAGATCCGGGACTGGGCTGAGAAGCCATCTTCCAGGATCACGGCCTTCCCGTGGGAACAACCAGCCCATTCTG